ATCTCTTCAGTCCCCCCTTTTATAAAAAATTTTCAATATTTTATTGATTTTTATTTTATGTGTATGAGTACATTGTCTGCATGTTAGTGCACCCATGTTATGCAATGCCCTCAGAATTCAGAAGAGGGAGTCAGATTCCCTGGAACTGGAGTTACAGACAGTGGTTGTTAACCACCATATGGGTACTGGGAATTGAATCCGTGTCCTGTTCAAGAACATCCAGTGCCCTTAACCACTAACCCACCTCTCCAGACCCTTAAAAAAAATTATTAAAATTTGTGATTTTTCTGTTTAGTTTGTCATCTATAGGTTTAGTGAATTTGTTTCTTTGCTTGTTACTTATTTATTTTGGTAGCATATTGTCAGAGAATATAGTAACTGCCAAACTGAAAGTCAAGACCGGGAGTGGTGGTCCACGCTTTTTTTAATTCCAGCTTTCTGGAAGGAGAGGCAGGCAGATCATTATGACATTGAGGTCAACCTGGTCTACATAGGAAGTTCCAGGTCAGCTGGGGCTACAGGAAGACCCTGTCTCAAAAAACAAAACAAAGGGACTGGCTCAGAGGTTAAGAGCACTGGCTGTTTTTGCAGAGGACTAAGGTTCGATTCCTAGCACTCACATGGCAGCTAACAACCATCCATAACTCCAGTTCCAGGGAATCCAACATCTTCTTCTGACCTCTGTGGGCATCACATGACATGGGTACACTTACACAGATGCAGGCAATACACTCATACACATAAAAATTTAAAAAACAGAAAACTTCAAACAAAGTAAACAAACAAAATTTAAAGGCACAACTTTAAACAGTGGCAAAAATCATGAAGACATTTATCTTGGAGAAAATGTGAAATAGGATAATAGAATTTCAATCTAGATTCAAATAATCACAAAGGATGCAATTGCCTAAATTCTACAGCCTGGCAGTGAAGATACGAATTGGACTGTGTACAATATTTTTGACACTTTCGTTTTCATTTCATCTTCCTCAGGCTGCAAAGTCAATGTGAAATGGTATTTTGTGATAAGTGTGGATCAAAAGTGACTCCACTTAACCAAATCTTTGTTGTCTGTCATAAACAGAATTAGGGGAGGGGCAAAGAAAAAGAGGAAGAGTCAAGATAAAGGAGTGGGAGAGAAAAAGGAGGGAGGGAGGGAGGGAGGGAGGGAGAGAGGAAAATTATATTCATTCAAATACTGTTGATTTTTCTCCTCCATATTATTTATGAAGCTGCATTCTTACATTACAAATACATCCAAGCATGATTAAAAACATGCAAGAATGAAAAACTCCATAAGTTATTTCAAGTTGGACTGATATGCCAATGTGACCACTCTTCAAATGCTAAAAGAATTAAATATTAAAAGCAAAAATAAAAGCTTAGAAACATAAGTAAATTCATATGTATAAAACAAGTATGTTTCAATTGCATTCAATTATTCCACCCAATCACCTAGAAGTAAAGATTCTCTAAAGAAAATTGCATTGCCTTCCAACTCCTTGGAGAGCCAGTTTAGTTAACAGCCTACCTAGACTTCAGAGATGACCATGCAGCTTACATGTCAAACTCATTTTAAAATGTCAATCATGTCCCTTTCAATCTAATTAGTTTGGAAAGTAGTGTCACCGACCTGGAACTATGCAAACCATTTATTATCATATCATTTGATCAACCTAACACTTTGCCTCAGTTGAGTTTAAGACACCTGTAGCCAAAATGTAATATCGTTTCTCCCACTCATTACTGGTAACTCTCAGTACAATTCCCTATTTACAACTCAATTTATCACTGTCAGTAGCCATGCTAACTTTACAAGGCATTCCACAGAATCTGTAAGATTCATGGCAATTAAAATAGAAAGGTAAAGGGAAT